ATGGATTTGCTGCGGTGATTTCAATGAGGTTCTGGCTCAAGATGAACACTGCGTGCCCAGGGACAGGTCTGAAACTCAGATTGACGCGTTCCGGGATTGTATGATGGACTGTGGCCTCCTGGACTTGGGCTTCTCGGGCCCCAAATACACCTGGTGCAATCGACAGGACCCTGGTTCTCATGTTCGGTGCCGGCTTGATCGTGCCTTGGCTAATAATGACTTCTCCAGTCTGTTTGCTGCATGTGATGTTGAGAATATCATTGCCACGTCCCCGGATCACTACCCTATACATGTCTGCCTAGATCGTGGCTCTCGGCAACGTCGGGTGTCTTCGGTTCAGCAGGGTTTTAGGTTCGAGGCGATGTGGCTGAGAGCCACGGACTACAAAGAGACTCTGGAACAGGCTTGGTCAGCAGGGAGAGATAGCCTCCCGTCTCTTCAGTCTACCTGGTCTAACTTGAAACATGTGGCTTCATCGCTGCGATCTTGGAGCAAAGAGGCCTTTGGGTCTGTCCGCAAGAAGATTGGGCAGTTGGAGCGTCGCTTGGCCACAATTAGGGCCTCCCCGCCCTCACCGCCCGCCCTGGAGGAAGAACGTCATATCGAGAGCTTGTTGTGCGAGCTGTTCGAACGGGAGGAGGTCATGGAGAGACAACGCTCCAGGGTGGATTGGCTCAAGGAGGGGGGCCGGAACACCGGGTTTTTTCAAGCCCGGGCGACTGCCAGAAGAAGAACCAACCGGATCCACTCACTTTCCCGTGATGATGGGTCTGTGTGTTCCTCTCAGGGTGAGATCAAAAGTATGGTGCAGGCTTACTATAACAGTTTATTTACCTCGGTTCCCTGCCTGTACGCCGAGGCTGTCTTGAATGCTATCCCACCCAAGGTTACTCCGGACATGAATGAGCAGCTGTGCAAACCCTATTCCATGGAGGAGGTGCGGGCAGCTCTCTTCCAGATGGGGCCTACTAAGGCCCCGGGACCGGATGGTTTCCCGGCCTTGTTCTACCAGACCCATTGGGATTTCTTGGGAACTGATATCTATAATGCCGTTCGGGGCTTTCTGGAGGGTCGGCCTATTCCGGAAGGGTTTTATGACTCAGTTATTGTGCTTATTCCAAAGACAAATCGTCCAAAGCAGTTGAAGAACTTCTGCCCGATCAGTCTCTGTAACGTGCTATATAAGATTGCTTCCAAAGTCTTGGCAAACCGCCTCAAATTCATCCTTCATGTAGTAGTGTCGAAGAGTCAGAGTGCTTTTGTTCCTGGCAGGCTAATTACTAACAACACTCTGATCGCCTATGAGTGTCTGCATACGATCCGGAGGCAACGGGTGAAGCAACCTTTCTTTGCTCTGAAGATTGACATGATGAAGGCCTACGACAGGGTGGAGTGGAGCTACCTCCATGGTTGCCTAAGCAGACTTGGTTTTGCCCCATCTTGGATTGCTGCGGTTATGAGATGTGTCACAAATGTCAGATATGCAGTCAGAGTTAATGGAGAGCTCACAACCCCGGTGGTACCCTCTTGTGGCATCCGTCAGGGGGATCCGATCAGCCCATACATGTTCCTCTTGTGCACTGAAGGTTTGTCTGGTCTGTTGCTTGATAAGGAGAATCGTGGCGAGCTACATGGGATTCGAAACGGGCGTCATGGCCCATCTATCTCACATCTCCTTTTTGCAGACGATAGCATCTTCTTTGCCAAGGGTGACACTCAGAGTGTGTGTGCTTTGGAGGCTACCCTCAACTCCTACTGTGCCGGTTCGGGCCAAGCAATCAATAAGGATAAGTCTGCGCTGTTCTTTGGCAACCACTGTCCTGATTCGGTTAAGACGAGAGTGAAGAACCAGTTGGGTATCTACAATGAGGCGTTTAAAGACTCTTATCTTGGTATGCCCACGGAGGTGGGTCGTTCTCCCACAGCTACCTTCAAATTCCTCACTGACCGTGCTTGGCAGAATATCCACGGGTGGTCGGACCAGCCTACGTCTAGGGCTGGGACGGAAACCTTGCCCAAGTCCAAAACTCAAGCCATCCCCACATTCATATCAAGTTGCTTCCGGCTTCCGGTGGCGATATGTGAGCGGTTCCGTCAGATTGTGGCGGATCAATGGTGGGGACGGGAAGATGGCAAGAAAAAGCTTCATTGGCGTTCTTGGGACTGGCTCTCGATGCCAAAATCTTTGGGGGTATGGGCTTTTGTGATATGGGTCTTTTCGACCAGGCGATGTTGGCGAAACAGGGCTGGCGGTTGTTGACTGATCCGGAGTCCCTGTGTGCCCGGGTCCTCAAAGGAAGATACTTCCAGTTCGGCAACTTTTGGAACGCGGAGGTGCCTCGTTCTGCTTCGGCGACCTGGGGGGTGATTTTGCATGGTCGGGAACTGCTGAAGTTGGGGGTCCAGTGGGGTATTGGTGACGGGAGAAACACGCGCATCATCTCTGATCACTGGATTCCCTCCACGCCTCCGGCTCTCCTCCATCCCCTCTCTCCGATCCCAGCGGCGGCGACTGTTCATTGTCTGATTGATGCGGAGAATGCCTGCTGGGATGTGGACTCGGTGAGAGCTTTCTTCAGTGATTCGGTGGCCAATGAGATACTTCAGATCCCTATCAGGGATGGTGTTGCGGACTTTACTCGCTGGCCTTTCACACGGTTTGGCGAGTACACGGTCCGATCGGGCTACAACCTGGCCCGGACGTCACGTTTCCTGATCAGGCAAAGTAGCGACGGCAGAGGCCAGCAATCTGCCTGTCCTTCGGAGGAGAAGCTTTGGAAAAAGCTATGGAATGTTAAGGCCCCAAATAAGATGAAGACCGTTCTGTGGAGGTTTGCACATGACTGTTTGCCCTCGGGTGAGCAGCTGCTCCGGCGTCAGGTTCCGACGAGAACGGATTGCTTCTACTGTGGCAGGTCGGAGAACGTGGGACATGCGATGCTATTCTGTCCCCACGCTCGGGCGGTCTGGGATGAGATCAAGGAGGGCTTTGGGATCAAACTGTTCCGATCTTCTTTTCAATCTCCTAGACAGTGGTTGTTCCTCTTCCTCTCTCGTTGCTCTGATCGGGACATTACTGTCCTGACGGTAACCTTGTGGCACATCTGGGAGGCCCGGAATACAGCGCGGAATGAGCCTGAGGCTCCTCCTCCTCGACAAACTGCTGCACGAACAAAAGCCTATGTTGATATGGTGCTCCAGCACCTGTACAAGCCTCTCCCTGCTACAAGGCGGGAGCCCACAGCTTCTAGCTTTTCTCGGGCTCCGCCGCCGCAGGGTTTTGTGCAAGTGTCCTCTGATGCTGCGCTGGATCTTCCTCGGCGCTTTTCTGCGGCGGGCGTGGTGATATTGGATCATTCTGGCCGGTTTGTGGCTGCCTCTTCTGAACCTTTGCCTGGAGTCTCATCCCCGGAGGTTGCTGAAGCTCTTGCTTTTCGATGCGCTGCTAGGCTGGCCCGGGAGAAGCACTTTCCTAACGTGGTGTTTCACTCTGACTGCCTCTCTTTGGTTCAACGCCTTAATTCCTCAGTCTGTGACAGATCTTTGGTGGGTTCCATTGTTGCTGAGATCAAGACGGAGTGTGCTGCTCTGGCTTTGTTTTCTTTCAAGCATGTTCGTCGGCACTGTAATGTTGTAGCTCATGTGTTAGCTAAGTCTAGTTTGAACTCTGTGAGTCCTTGTGTTTTCCTTTCTACTCCGGATTGTATCCGGGAGACTTTGTGTAATTTGGTTGCTTAATTAATGAAGGCCGACGTTCTCTCAAAAAAAAACCCTGGATTTTGCATGCCCCTGGATTCAGGTCGTTTCGTTTGTCTGATCAATTTTTGCCCCTTTTATTGTTCGACTAACTACTTTTTTTCTTCTGCCTCTGCATTATATTACTGCAAGAGATCATGAAACAGGCCAACTCATCGTGATATAGTTCAGCAACTTTACTGAGGATATGTAGAGTAGAAATGCGGGAGAAAAATGTCAAAGAAATAAAATCTGAGTACATGCCCTGCCCTGAGATTCCATTTCTCAAGTAAACTTCAGCAAAACGATTTCAGAAACAATTGTCGTGTCAGTTAAACAAACTTCATCCAAACATCAGCGTCACAGTTTCAGCTCGGCATTCATCTATCAGAAATAGGAGCTCATTGGGGGTGTAGCAAGGGTGCTCGCTGGTCACTTCCTTTCCGAAATCACACGTTTTGTAACGGATCTGTTTTAGATCGGGGAAGACTTGTCCCGGCCTCAACATGTGAACATACACACGGCCAGAGTCGCTTTGTAACTGATATAGATAGGTGAGGAATCGTGCATGAAATCCTGGAGGGCATAGTGCCACTCGTGGTCTTTCGGAAGATGGCCTTGCAACACACTCAAGTATCTGATATGCGGTTTTCGCATGCTTACAAGCTATATCTTGTCAGTAGCAGGAGATGATGTTAGGCTGATGGGATGTCATAAACGCAGAACGTCTGGACCTGGACGGTAATCGAATGATCTACGGTTTGGCCACTTGGCCGAAATAATCACAAGAGCTTCAATCAAGCAATACACCCGTCTTTCTTTATTTCTTTTTTGTCATTTGAAAACAAGATGATGATCTATATGCTACGCTAATTCGGAATAAAGCCGTGAATGATAGATACACATATCGGCGTGTAGTGTGGCTGTGTAGGTAGGATTTCATTAGGATCTACGAATGAGGACCAAAGTGGCAAAAAAGAGAGAGAAGAAGGGCCGCCGGCCAGCTACATGGGCTTCGATGCCAAGGAACGGATTGTTTAGAAGCAACGTACCCCAGCTCAAGCCGTAGCATTGCAGCCAAGTCACTCAAATCTTCAAACCACATCACACTCCTCGTCTCTTTCCCTCCCACAACACACGCACATATATAACCACATGCATGCTCATGCTCACCACCACAACTCACTGCACCATCTCCTCTCACTACACCTACAGCAGCAGCAGCATTGTCCCAGAGCGAGCATCATCAACTAGCTCATCCGGCAATGGCTTTCAACCCAAACCCTCCAGGCCTCGGCTTCCCCTTCCCCTTCTTCCCTCCACCCAACACCTACGCTCCTCCAAACCCTTTCGGTCCAAGGCCGCCACCAAGCCCTTTCGGTCCAAGGCCACCGCCACGCCCTCAAGCACCACCACCTCCACGACAGCCTGCGCCACCCGTTCAACCCCCGCCGCGCCCTCAAGCC